AATGGGAGAAAGTATTTGCAAATGATATATTTGAAAAGGGTGAATACCCAGAACATATAAAGACTTCTTACAACTTAACAAAAATGCACACCTGATTGAAAAAAGGACAAAGAGCCCAAATAGACATTTCTCCAAAGAAGACATAGGCCAACAAACAAAAAGATACTCAGCACCACTAGTCATTAGGGAAATGCAAATCAAAATCACAGCAGGATACCACTTCACACTCATTAGAATGACAATGATTAAGAATAGGTGTTGGCAAGGATATGGTGAAACTGGACCCTTCAGTAGGAATGTAAAATGGTGCAGCCACCATGGAAATCAGTTATGGCAGTTTAAGAAATTAAACACAGAATTGCCATATGATTGAAAGCAGAGGCTCAGATATTTGCACACCCATGTTTACAGCAGCAGTATTCACAATAGCTAAAAGGTGGAAGCAACTTAAGTGTCCATCAACAGATGAGTGCACAAACAAAATGTGGTCTACCCATAGGACAGAGTATCAGCCTTAAAAAGAAATCACGACACATGCCATAACTTGGATGAACCTTGAGGACATTATGCTAAGTGAAATAAGACAGTCACAAAAGGACAAATCTCTTCTGATTCCACTCATACGAGGTCCTTACAGTAGTCAAATTCAAAGAGACAAAGTAGAACAGAGGCTGTCAGGGGCTGGTGGATGGGGAATAGGGAGTTGGTGCTTAATGGATACAGAGCTTCAGTTTTACAAGATGACAGAAGTTCATCTTGTAAACTTGAACTTGTGGATACATGGTAGAGAAGGCTGCACGGTATGAATGTATTTAATGCTACTAAATTGCGTACTTAAAATGGATAAGATGGTAAATTTCATGTGTATTTTAACACATCAAATTCTTTTAAATGACATTAGAATTGACTACATAGGTAGATAATAAAAGCCAACTTGCCTTCATCTGTGCAACTTTCTCAAATGATTATCAAATAAAAATGAAATTTCCACACAAAAACGAGACAGTTGAGGTGTCTCCCCTATTTGACACAGATGCCCTCATTTTTTTTGCTCTCCCTTACTTAAACAGGAAGAAAAAGAGCATTTCAAAGGAACCCTATCCTCAGTGAACCCTGGTTACGGTCCAAGACCCCTGTGGCACCAGCAGTGCCTTCTCCTGCTTGTCCCTCCAGCTCGTGCTCTGGGCATCTCTGTTCTTTGTCACTCTGTGGACTTGAGCCAGTGAGGATTGGAAGGGAGAGGACCAAGTACAAAAAGAACAACTAGGAGGGTTAACAGCCTCTCCTAGGCATTTGCGTGAAAAGCAATGGCAGATCCACGTGGCCTGTATTGGGGCAGATGCCCTGGGGAGCGACTCCTTCATCTCACAGATGCTGAGGGTGGGAATGGCAGCAGCCATGCACTGCCTGAGTTTAGAGAGGACTGCTGGGGGTGCGTGTGTAGGTGCCACGTTACCACCTAGAACACACTGTCTCACGCTGTGAGCCAGGGCTTGTTAGGCACACAGTGATGCAGTTCCTGCTGGAATTCTGGAGGCAGAGGCTACACCTGAGCAGCTCCTACCAGCTCAGTGGCATTGAGCCCATGGGATGTGGGGGGACACTGCTTTCCAAAGTTGAGAGTCTGCTTCCTCTATGCAGAAACAACAGGTAGGGACAAGGAGGGGGGCTTAAGTGAAGACAAAAGCAGCAATTCTGTTGAGATAGACATGGGTGCAGGGAGGTTGAGAGCAGGGTGGATGCTGGTGTCAGCCATCAGAAGGCCCCAATGGCTGGTGCTGGTTAGTCATGTATGCAGGTCCTTATTTTTCCTCCTACCTGTTGCTAATCCCTTGGCTTTGTCACTGGGTAGCATTCGATATTGCACTAGATAGGGACTAAAGGGAGGTGAGTGGTGTCCATCACGTGCACACATCATAATGAAGAGAGGGAGATTAAAAAGTCAAGTTTCATAAGCCAAGCTCACTTCTGACTTTTTTCAGAGGGCAGCACCCTTTCCTTTTGATAATTCTGAAGATAAGCAGAACAGACTAGGTTTCATAGTCCATTTATCTACTAGGTTAGGCCTTCGCAATGAAAAGAAAAACCATTACAAGGCATTGCTAGAGAAAATGGTCTTATCCTCTTAAAGGATAATAAGACAAATGAATTTCCAAAAGGGGAGATAAATTGAAGCTTCTCAGTGACTTCAAATCTTATGTGGAGTTCTCTCCAACATTTAAAGAAGAGTTAACAAGAAACCACCACAAACACTTCCAAAACACGGAAGAGGGAACACTTTCTAAGCTTATCCTATGAGATAGACACCAAAACCCAAGAGATCACAAGGTGGTGGGTGGCAGGTGGGGTGGGGGGGTCTTGGAACCCATCCCCTGTGGATACAGAGGGCTGGCTGTTCCAACACACCAAATCCAACAGCTATGTATAAACGGTATCATAAACCATGACTCTTGGGCTTTGGCCCAAGAATGCAAGGTTGGTTTAAGATACAGAAATCAGTCAATGTAATAAACAGCACATTGATCTTATGAAGGCTAAAAACCACATTATCTTCTCAAGAGATGCAGAAAAAGCATTTGACAAAATCCATCACACCCTTTCATGATAAAAACAAACTAGGAATAGAAGGGAACTTCCCCAACCTGATAGAGGGCATCTATGGAAAACCCAGGGTTAACATCATAGTTAATGGTGAGACTGAAAGCTTTCCCCTAAGATGAGGAACAAGACAAGGATGTTTACCCTTGCACTGCTATTCAGTATTGTACTAGAGATTCCAACCAGCGAAGTGGGGCAAGAAAGAAGAATAAAGGACATCTAGGCTGAAAGGAGGAAGTGAAACTGTCTATTCACAGATGACATGATTATGTACATAGCATCAGGAATCTACAAAGGTATTAACAGAACTGATAAATCTTATATGACAGTTTGGTTCTAAAAGCAGCATTTAAGGCAAAAATTGTTCACAGATCATTAATTTTTTTTCATAAAGTAGACACAGTTTGCTGTGTACAGCCCTGTACAGGACACACACACAGTGCATACAGAGATCCTGTACATCACGCAGTAAACCATGACAGCTACAACTTGGTCTGCTCCTGAGAGGCTACTGCATGCCTTTCCAATTTGTGTGTATTCATAAATTAGGTGAGGAATGTGACTTTCTGACTCTCAAAATAGGCAAAAGGAAGTTGTAACTGGGTATCAACAGACACCAGCCCTGAGTGAGCAGCGCAGACTGGGAACAGGTCCGAGAATGACTGGAGATTCTATCTTGAGAGTGTCTGGCATTGCCTTTTGCAGGAACGATGGGTGAGTGAAACTTACTGCCTGGTTTTAGACTCTTGGTGTCCTAAATTATCGACTTCATTGCAATGAAGGCATCAGAATGTAATTTAATCTCACAGGAGTGGCATCTCTACTTTTGGAAGGCCCCGTGAGAGAAACTGTATTCAAAAATACCATTCCAATGTGGAGATTTATGATTCCTCTTCTCATCTCTGTTTGGTGTTGTCTGATCTTCTGCAAGTGCCTCAAAATTGTCTTTATTCTGTCTTTATACCCTCCATTAACCTTTCAATCTCTCCCCAGCAATGTAAACCATCCCTGCTTACCTGCCCAGCTCCCACAACTTGTTCCTCGAACGCACCTGCAGAAGGCTGTGACTCATGCACTGGCAGTGCGGCTAGCTGTGTCCATGGCCTGTGGAAATATGCCAGCCCAGCAGAACAGCTGGAATCCTACACTATTAATATGGTTGTTTTCCAGGCAAGTACTGTGCAATTTATACAAGTTAAATGCACGTATCTGTGATTCGATAGCACAGCTGAGAACTGTTACAATGTCTAACAATTAAATGACAGTAATAGTATATGACAAATTAGGGGAAAGAACCACAACTTCAAAAGGATAGTTTCCTTCTAAGAAGAAACTAATATGAAAAAAGACTAACATCCCCCCCACCGACAAAAAACAGGCAAATAACACATTAAGTAACACATTACTTTTTGGTAAGTAATTTACCAAAAACAAGAAAAGCAAATGGACAATAAATATATGGAAATATTGAAGCTCACAATGAAGCTCACAATTTATCATACATCAAATTCTTCACTTATTAAAACAGCACCAACAGAAAAAGAAATACCTGTGCTTCAGGGATAATGGAAACTCCACGTACTTACTCCCTTTCCTAGATTAAAACAATTTCTTTTTTCAGCTGGATGCGGTGGCTCATGCCTGTAATCCCGGTACTTTGGGAAGCTGAGGCAGGTGGATTGCTTGAGCTCAGGAGTTTGATACCAGCCTGGGCAACATGGTGAAACCCCATCTCTACTAAAAATACAAAAAAACAGCAGAGCATGGTGGTACATGTCTGTGGTCCTGACTACTTGGGAGGCTGAGGTGGGAGGATCACTTGAGCCTGGGGGACAGAGGTTGCAGTGAGCCGAGATCATACCACTGCACTCCAGCCTGGATGACAGAGCAAGACCCTGTCTCAAAAACTCCAAAAAAATTTTTTTCATAAACAATCTAGAAATATATTTAAAAGCCTTAAAATATGTTTGACTCATGATGTTTGACTCATGATGTTGACTACTGGTTTATTGTAAGGAGACGGCCACATTGTTATGTGTGATGATGCTAATCACAGTTATTGATGCTAACAGCGAGACACTCGGGAACCCCAGGATGCTGTGATGATAAAGCCTGTTCCATCTGGGTGATTCTACGGAGCTAATAAAAACCAAGTTTCCAAATAACATTTAAGATATGGTTCTGTTTCTAAAAAAGGTGGGGTGGAGGGGTTGTGAAATAACAGTGGGATACAGGACATTTATGGTTTTATGAAAAACTAACATATATTCATGGAGGCCCCAGGTATTTGCATCGCCTCAGGAGAAACTATAATTTGACAAATAAATGCATTCTTGGCCATTTGTGTCAGTTCACAGAAGTGGGGCTGAAAAATCCAGAATCTTTTTTTAGTCCTATTTATAAAAGCTATAAAAGTATAATTTTATTATGCTTAGAGGAAAAAAAAAGTAGAAATGATTTGCTTGGGTTCCTTGACCCTATTCGAAAATGGAAATATACAACAATGCATTTCTATCCTATGCCTGCTGAGGGGATTTTTCATATTCTTTTCAGCATGCACAATAATCTTTGGGTGGTGGGACTGATTTTCTAATTTTCTAAAATGGACATGCGTTATTTTAAAAACAAAACAATCTTTTAAGGATTTAAATATCAAAATCACTAACAACATTTCTCAGTAGGATGCAAAACTGATGGTTTGTATCAATAGATAAACATCATTTATTACTTTGTCTATTAAAGTAGTTTCAACACAACTGAAGTTCAGACTGCACTGGGCTGTTGCCATCACAGTCCGGGATTATGCACAGACCAGCCCACACCCCGAGCAGGGGTACCCTTGCCAGAACCTGTGCTGGATGCCTTAGGACCACAGAGACCACTGCCCGTTGTTGGGCTGTGTGTGCACAATTCATACCCCGATCCATAAGCCCTAAGACAAGAATGGCTATCATTGCCCTGGGTTCACTTTCTATTCAAAGAGGACTCATCTGGGCACAGCCAATGTAGTAGTTAAAATGCATTTTGAGAAAAAATAAATATTCTGTACAATGTATTTACAAGGATCAACTGTTTTGTCACCCACCCCCAATTAGTATAAAATTGGGAAACTGTAATTTGACAGTTAAGAAGCATATTATTGGCTGTTAGTGTCAGGTTAACAAAGAATGTGGAGCTGACCACCTGAAACATTTTTGAACTATATATATATAATATGCAAAATTTCACATTTTAATATGCTTAGAAGAACAGTTTAAAGTAGAAACGATTTCCTTGGCCTCTGACCTTCAATGATGAAAATGCAACCATGCACTCCCCCTGTGCAGAAGGGCAGTTCTTCCCAAGCTTTCTGGAAGCAGGGGCCTCCCAGGAGCCTCCCCCCACCTCACAGAACACTCACTATGAGCCCTGCACAGACAGCATGATGCACAATCTCCAACAGGGATGGCAGGGGCAACTCTTAAAACTTGAAAAGGTCGATGAAGTGCTGCGGAGACACAGGCGTGAAGCAGCTGTCGGGGTCGGCCGCCGTGCAGGGGTGTCCTGAGTCCTGTGGGGAGGTGGGAGATGGTTAGGAGGGGGCCCACCACCAGCCACACTCTAGTGATGGTGGTTGGGGGGTCGTCAGCTGCTTGTTGACATGGACCCTGGGCCCCACCTCAGAGGTACATGAGAGAGAACTTGGATGAGAATGATCAACACAAGGGCAGCCGCAGCCGATTCTACGCAGAGGTTTTCCATGGAACTCCTGCTCAGGTAGGGCAGGAGACGGTGGCCCCAGGTTAGCCCTCCAGTGCCGAATCTGGTATTGAGTCAGAGGAGCCAGCTGTTGACACCACCCTGCATTGCCCGGGAATCTACAAGGCCACAGAAGAAACCACTGGGGACTTTCTGTCCTCTGGTCCCAGCCATTCCTTTGTCCTGTCCTGTTCCTGGTGCACTTTGGCGCACAGGGTTCCCTCCACCCACCATTCATCCCTCAATCAGCCTGGGCTCCCTGCACAGGACAGGAGCGTGGGGACACATGGCCTCAGCCCCTGAGGCTCCTGCTTGCTCCAAGGGAGCCGGCCATGCTCACATACCTAAGGATCCAGAATTTTATTTAATATGAGAAGCGACAAAAGAAAAATTAATTTTGTGGATGAAGGCTGGCAGAATCTTAGGAGGAACGTAGGTAGACGGGACCAGAGGCCTTGGGGTCAGTGCTGGGTCTCTCCATGGCATGCCCTGGCAGTGCTGCCAATCCAGGTGCTGTGTGGTGAAGTGTTTATGGGCACGTCTAGCATCCTCCCTCAGCACTCAGGTGTTGTTCTGCGAAATATTTCATGAACACTCTCGTCCTTGCTGAGGTGATCAAAGTGGCCACTCAGCCCTGCTCAGGGTCCTGAGAAAGCTCAAGTCAGCGAGAGCTGGAATTGAGCTGGGCAGTGACCAGGATGACGTGCACGAGATGCAGCACAATGCAACGTTTTCATCCTGAACACGGGATGTGTGGCAAGACAGGGAAGTACCTTGAATAGTAAAGCAAGGTGGTAGTCCTTTGAGATCATGAAGAAAGAATCAGGAAGGAATGCAGTGAAGGGAGGGAAAAAAAGGAAAAGATTAGAAAGAGCCAGACTGTAAGCATTCAGGTTTGATTCATATTATTAACGAAAATAACTAAAAACATCAGGTAACTAAATTTGGACAGTACAAAGTTATTTAAAGCAAGCAAACAAGGCATCATCAGATAACCCAAATTCCCAAACTACTTGAAGACAGTCTTAAGACAACATATCTTTACCTTTAAGTCTTTCAAATTGGCAACTAATGAGGCTGCCGTGCTAAATAACCTTCAAAATTATTCACTGAAAAAGAGATGCTATTTCCATGTGCAGTTTATATTAAAATTTTATAAGTTTTTTTGGGGAAAGTTCTGTTATTTAATGTCCAAAGGGTCTGCTCTGTGCTAAATAAGGCACATTAAGTCAATTCCACACTTTAAGCCAGCCCCCACCTCTGACACTTGTTTCTTCAGACCAGTGGGTGTCACTTTCCAACACAAACCCAAGCCTCAGCTGCTGCCCTCCTGTGCTGTCCTCCCCCGCTGGTTCAGGCTGCACCAGCGAAGCGGTTCCCCCACAAGACCAGGACTACCAGACCAGGGAGACCTCATCTTCGATTCTGGCTCCAACTTTGCTCCTGATGTCCACACAGGACTGTGGGGTGAATGTCAGGTGTCCAGACCTCTATTCTGGCAACTGATACACCAAGAAAAAATAGGACATAAAAATGCCAAACGGCTCATCCTGGCTTCCCTGACCCAGCCGACAAGTCTACAGTTTTTAACTGAGGTTTTGTACAGCCAGGAGATAACGCCACCCCTCTCAGTGACCCTGAGTGCAGGGTGCACCAGTGTACCCTCCCAGGGCCATCGAAGTCAGTCTTTGGCTCCAGAGCTGAACTCAGCCCAGTTACTTACAGACTGCGTGAAAGGCTAAGGCAGGTAGAAAAGTTAAAAAAGAACTCCAATATAGTAGAGCCAGAACAGATGGGAAACCAGCTTGGGAGCAGATGAAGCAGCTCCACAGCACTGCTGACTGGAGAGCTCCAGGCTTATGTACTGTGGGAAATGATAAAACACCAGATGCCGACCTGAGACAGATGCACTGTGGTGTCGGCTCATGACCAAGTCCCAGGGCCAGGTAAGAATTTACAGTCACCAACACCCAGTCTCATTTTCTTACTAGCTTTGATATTACTTGAGTTTCTCAGTCAACACAAACTCCTGGGATGCTAAACAAACAAAAAACAAGCAGTAACCCTAACCCTAAGTGCCATTTTCTGAGTACCAGCTATGTGCCAGGTTTCCAGGTGCAGGACTGTTGGACATTCACAGCTCCTCTGTGTGATAGTTCATGGCATCAAACCAAGGCCCTAGGAGGGCAGCAAGCTCAGGAGACCCTGGAGGCAGGTCCAGGTCTGCCTGACTCCAATCTGGGTTTGGCCTACCAGGCCACTCACCTCCGGTTAGCCACACTGATGGAGCAGATGGGAGACAGGGCAAGAAGTACCTGACACCTTCAGGGGTTAAATGAGGAGGGATGGCTCTTTTTGAATACTTCCATGCATGGATTCAGAACTAAAAACGTGGACTGCCTTGTAGAATGATACTCAGTGGGAGAAGCTGTGATGGGGCCATTCACTGTAGCTGCAGTGAAGTGGACATCACAGCCTCCAGGACAAGACATGAACCTCCCAGAACTAAGAGATGGACAGCTCTTTGCTAGGAGAGGCTTGTTCTCAATTTTCGTGACTTGATCAAGTATGATAAGGTTCACTAAATACAAGAATGGCAAAGCAAATTCTTTTGGAAGGCTACATCATCTCTCAATTTTAGAAAATCAGAACTTACATATTTCAGGAAACTAAGGCAGCACATTCTCATACACATGGAGCACCTGTAATCCAAAACTCTGAGATGTTCCAAAATCCAAACCTTTTGAGCACTGACATGATACCACAATGGAAAACTGCACATTAACAAGTACATAAAATTACTAAAACATTGTATGAAATTATCTTCAAGCTCTGTGTAAATGAAACAGATGAAAAAAATCTGAAATCTGAAACACTTCAAGTCCCAGGCATTTCAGATAAGGGAGATTGATCTGTACGGCCCAACAATGCAGAAGCAAAGGAGTGTTTTTCTTTGTTAGTTGCTTAGCAGACGGGGAGAGCTCCAATATTCATAAATGTTGTTCTAAGAAAAACACTATCACATACAAATCTGAAAGCCTTCTACCTCTTCTATGAATGGTATTTTCCCCCATAAAAATATCGTTGCTTTTAATAGTTCTATAGTACAAAACAATCTGCTCAGGAGAAAAAAGAAAAGTAACTCTTAGGAGAAGCACTAACTCAACTTAGAAATTACAGTATTGTGTCCACTCTTACTCTGTGACTGAAGACACAGCCACATGTTTTCAGTGTTAATATTTCAGAGAACAGGTGTCAGTCCTAGAAGGAACTACACAGAAGGGGGGCCCTGTTCCCTCCAGGGTCAGGTGTCAAAGCTGGGTGAGAACCTGGACTTCACTCAGTTGACCCCTTTCCTTCAGTCCACAAGCATCTGCCTGTGGCTTCTACTGCAGACAACTCACCCCCATATTGTGCTTTTTGTGCCATGTAACTGGGGAGAAAAGAATAGAATGAGGGCTCTCTCCTGTATAACCTAATCTTACTGATGAACTGATTCGCTGACCTCACCAAGTTGAGAATAAACTGGAATCAAGATGTTCCCTGCTCTTGAGGGATAATATTCTACAAGACAGTTGTACTACTGCAGAAACACATAACACAACTTGCATCTTTTTAATTTCAGGAAAGACAGAAGTCATACCAAAATATTAAAAATCAGAAATAAAATCTCATATTCATGTATGATGCTGTTTACCTTTGACATACCAAACAAAACTATTAAAATAATACAAGAAAAACACATCTTTACATTCTTTGCTCAATCATGGATTAATTTTTAAAGCCACACTTAGAATAAATGTAATTTGAAATGAAAAGCAGTTGTCTCTTTCCAACAGCCTAGAGCTTGCCTTATGACCTATCTGATAACAAATTTAGATAAATGTAAAGCAAAGGTAAAATCACAACAGGTTACGGTGTCTATCAGGCAAAAGCCTCATCTCCCTAGACCTAGAGAAGGCAAGAGGCAGAGACAGCCCACTCCTGCAAGAGGCAGGGCCTCATCTAGACCAGGGACAGTCAGGGGTTCCCTCCGCAGAGCAGCCGGCAGCTCAGCAGGGTCACTCCAGGACCAGCTTCTGCCTAGTTTCAACACTTTTTTTCCCCTATGGTGAAATCTCACAACATCAAACATGTTCAAATGCAAGGCAGACCATGGAAACATACTCCAGGGTGAAATAATATTAACATGTTAAGAAAGAAGTGGATAATAGCCGGGTGCCATGGCTCATGCCTGTAATCCCAGCACTTTGGAAAGCTGGGGCAGACAGATTGCTTGAGCTTGGGAGTTTTGAGACCAGCCATGGGTAACACGGTGAAACCCCGTCTCTAACAAAAAAAAACAAAACAGACAACAACAACAAAAAAATCAGCTGGGCATGGTGGCTCACCCCTGTGGTCCCAGCTACTCAGGAGGCTGAGGTAGGAGGATCACTTGAGCCCAGAAGTTGGGGCTGAAGTGAGCCGTAACTGTGTCACTGCACCCAGAACTGCGTGGGTGTCAGAGCAAGACACTGCTTCAAAAAAACAAAAAAAAGAAGTGAATTAGTTGGGCATGGTAGCACCTGCCTGTAGTCCCAGTTACTCGAGAGGCAGGAGGTAGAGGCTGCAGTGGGCCGTGGTGATGCCACTGCACTCCAGCCTGGGTGACAGAGCGAGACCCTATCTCAAAAAATAAAAAAGAAAAAAAAAAAGAAATAAGCAGTTATCTCTGACTGTGAAAAACATTCTTTTCAGACATACAGTCTGGATGGTGAGAACAGGAAGTAACTGGATGAAGGGAAGAAACTTGCAGATAAGTAACAATAGTCTTGTTAAGTTCTGATCATATGAATGAGAAAAATGCAGATTTTAAAATCTGGGACTTCTCTATGGATGCTTTTTCTCTAAGAATATGGCTTTGAGAAATGAAGCCTAAGCTGGTCCTGGCCCTGCACAGATGGTGGGGACATAAAGGGCCGAGGGCTAAGTCTGGGGAAACGAGGAAGGTGCACTTGTCCTCAGATGGGCAGAGGGGTCACACTGCAGCCTTCAACCTCAGGCTGGGGGTCAGCAGGGAACCTGGAGCTGCTGCCAGGAAAAGCCAGTGGCCGCAGTCCACCTGCGATGCCCTCCTACATGCTAACTTCTGCAAAAAGGAGAAGCGTTTTGGTTTGCAGCATTTCTGGTTTAAGCCCAAGTTGAATGAACATCTATTCCCCTACCCCAATATTTGGTAAAATATAGCTCCTTAACTTACTTGTAACAGTACTTTCTACTTTCTAGTCTTACACTTAGAATATAAGTGGTTAGTTTCACCAAATTTTAATCCTGAAATTCCAAGAGTGTATTTAAATCAGTACCTTCCAAAAGAGAATGCTGCAGTGCCGACAGAAATGCAGCGTGTCTCCGTACTGCTCCTTCGCTGGGTAATGTTTCCGAAGTGCAAAGTACATCAACTTCCATTCAATATGACCTTTTTCTGAAAGGATCAAATGTCTACAAAACTAAACAAACAAAACCCCATTCAGAATCAGCATAAGATGACTTTCAAAGCATAATATTAGGTGTAAAACTTTTTCATTTTATTTTAGTTTTTAATTTTTTTTAACTTCAATAGCTTTAGCGGTACAGGTGGGTTTTGGTTACATGGATGAACCGTACAGTGCTGAAGTAAGCACTGACCCACCAGGTAGTGTTTCATCCCTCACCCTCCTACCCTTCCCTCTTCTGAGTCTCTACTGTGTATTCTACCGCTCTGAATGCCTTTGTGTACCCATGGCTTAGCTCCTACTTATAAGTGAGAACATAAGGTATTTGGTTTTCCATTCCTAAGTTATTTTACTTAGAATAATGGCCTCCAGTTCTATCTGAAATTATTTTTCAAAGGCAGTGTAGTACATAAAACAATTATTTGAAATTAAACTCACTTGGATTAAATCAATGAGTGACAAATCAAATAAATTATGCTATGCCTGTATAATGGAATACCAAGCAGCTGTTAAACAGACTTAAATATTCCAATCCAGAATAATGTCCATAATATATTAAATTAAAATAAGCTACACACATATTTGATAATGGACTTATATCTAGAATACATAAAGAACACTTAAAACTCAATAATAAAAAGACAAATAACCCAATTTAAAAAAATGGGCAAAGGACTTGCAAAGACATTTATCTAAAGAAGTCACAGAAATGGATGATAACCTCATGAAAAGATGCTCAGAATCCAGTCATCAGGGAAATGGAATGAGACCCACTTCACGCCCACTAGAATGGCTTTAATCAAAAAGTGAAATAATGAGCAGCACTGGGGAGGGGTGGCGAATCGAGAGACCTCACACTGCTGGGGGAATGTGAAATGGCGCAGCCACTTTGCAAAACAATCTGGCAATTCCTCAAAAAGTTAAACAGAATCCACCATATGACTCAGTCATTCTACTCCTAGGTTTATAACCAAGAGAAATGAAAACATGCATCTACACACAAACTCGAACATGTTCAAGGCAGCATTATTTGTAAAAGCCACAAACTTTTATCAAACAAACTAAATGTCAATCAACTGATGAATGGATAAACAAAATGTGGATACAGAGAGTAAGATATTATTCAATCTTGAATGAAGCTCTGATTTATTCTACAACATGGAGTCGTAAGGACATCATGCAAAGGGTAAGAAGCCAGTCACAAGACAACAAATGCCATAGATTCTTCTTATATTACACATCCAGAAAAGGGAAACACAGAGACAGAAAGACAATCAGGGGTTGCTTAGGGCTGGGAATGGTAGCTGAAGGGCAGAGGTTTTTTTTGTTTTTTTGTTTTGTTTCCTGAGGTGATGCTGATGTTTTGGCTGTGTCCCCCGCCAAATCTTGAACTGTAGTTCCCATAATTCCCATGTGCCGTGGGAGGGAGCCGGTGGGAGGTAACTGAACCATGGGGGCAGGTCTTTTCCATGCTGTTCTTGTGATAGTAAGTCTCACCAGACCTGATGGTTTTATAAAGGGCAGTTCTCCTGCACACGTTCTCTTGCCTGCTGCCCTGTAAGATGTAGCTTTGCTCCTCCTTTGCCTTCCACCAGCATTGTGAGGCCTCCCCAGCCATGTCAAACTGTGAGTCTTTAAAATTACCCAGTCTCGGATATGTCTTTTATTGGCAGCGGAGAATGGACTAATACAGATGTCAGTATCCTAACATTGACTGTAGTGATGGCTGATAAAGTGGAGGGTATCTTAATAAAGGTGTTACCAAAAACATCAGTGTTACAGAGTGACCTTCAATTACAGTTTTGAAAACGACCAGTGCACAGCTAGATAAATTAATGTGTATATTTGAGTGCACATGAAAGCCTGAAATGAAATAAAATGCATGGGCTAAAGGAGTAACAGGGATGCCTTGGGGTGGGGGCCTTTAACTTGTTTGCACAACACTGTACTAGTCTTTAAGGCTGTTGCTGCAATGAGCATGTTTTACTTTTCATAGCTAAAAACAATCACTTGTATAACATACTCATACTTCAGTCATGGCTTTTGAGGACTCTAGAAATTATCATGGAGTCAATGAGGAAATCCTGTTTCTAATAAAATTTGAAAAGAAGACTACTTGCAAAATAAAAAGTAGTAGTTATCAGCCTGTTTATATTTAGTATTAATTTCTGTGTCCTCTAGGCAGGCACTGTTAAAACATTAGTTCCCAGAGACTAAAAACAACCATTTGTTGTCTCATTTCTACTTCTTACGAATTCTGTGCTATACCAGTGTTCACGGGGAGAATCCCCTCACATGGTTTTTCTCCTAAATAATGATCTGTGATTTTTCTGAACTCAAATGCAACATCCCACCAGATGCTCCAGTCAAGAGCATTTAGCTGACTTTTCCTTCCATACTATCTTGAACCAGTCCGGTTTTCTCAGGTATCTAGTTTTTATTTTGGGGATGCTTCCTTATCTATGCTTTCTCATAAAAGCTATTTCTGATATGCTTTTTTTTTTTTTCAGGGCCTTAATGTTAGTTACTGACGCCTGAAGAACAGATCATTATTTTCTGATGCTGTGTTTTTATGATTCAGATAAGAAAATGTGTACAAATGAGATGCACCTGCAGGTGCTAATTGCAACTTAACTATTCTAGGATATCAGTGCAGAACAGACGTTTAACTTATTTAAAGCAACTCTTTTAAGAATGGCAATGACCACAGAAATGGCCAAAAGACATCCTTAAGTATGTTTAGGGTCTGGATGTATAAACACCTGCCAGGCACTCTCATTAACGCCTTTTGGGAACAGCTCGGGCCTGCACGTGATAGGGAGTGTCCCAGGGCAAACTGGGAGGCAGAGGGTTCATCCCAGATGACCTTCATTTACCTCTTTTCCTAGGATCTAAATCCTCCCCACAAAAGTCTATCCACCCCCTCCCCCATGCCCAGTGCTGACTTAAAATTCGATCCACTGATTTCTCCTACTCAAATTAATATTGGAATTCTTTTGCTTCTCCCGAACAACTCCACTTGAGACAGTTCTCCCCAAGGTATCCATAACCTCTGCTCAGCTAAATCTCACAGGCTTTTCTTTGTCCTATTAATCTCTCTGTCCATGGCTTTGAGGGTCCAGCTCCCCCCAGGTTCTGAGGCACTTCATCTATCACTCAGCATTGGGGTTGGTGCCCTCACGCCCTGCTCAGGCTGATCCCATTGCCTCCTGTCCTCTCCATATGCATCTGTCCAGGCCCTCGCTCCACATGCCTCTCAGACACACTCCATGAGGCCCGTGTTCAGGCCAGCCCCTTCCTGTGGGAGCCCCCATCCCATCCCATCCCATCCCATCCCATCCCATCCCATCCCATCCCATCCCATCAGGGTCATCTTCTGATGTCTTCCCTGTTGCCCTCGTGCACTTCCTTGCCCATAACTCTTATTTTCCTGAGGCAGGATCCTGATGGATCCTCTTGTATCCACTCCAGCCTAGTCCTCAAACAAGAACAGAAGCTCTTCTGAAAGCTGCAATTCCATGTGCTTTGCTGGCTCCCCTGAGCTCACAGGACACAGACAAAGATTCTTCATGTGGCTTGGCCTCTGCTGTGCTTCCTCACCATCCACCACTCACACACACAGCACCCTCCCCATGGTAGGGTCCTGCTCTCTGCCTAGGCCCTGTCCATTGCCCTGCACTCCAAGGGTAGACTGTGCCCCTCATGAAAGGCACCCAGTCCCATCCTAGGTCTTCACAGTGCTGACCACAGTTCCAATCCCACCCCATGAGGGGCACAACGCGCCTCCCTCCAGCCACCTGCCTTCCCTGGCTGCGCCCAGCCCCAGGCAGAGCAGGTGCCTTGGACATCTGTGGGGTGATGAGGGGAACCCCCAGTTTCTGCAGAGGCCCAGGAACAGGGACCACAAGGTCTCATCGTGGATGCGGAATGAGCAGACCACCCTGGAAAGGCCTCGAGCACTGACAGCAGAACACACCTTATGCTGCCCCACGTGCAATCCCACGTGCAGCAGGCAAAAGGCAGTGGCGGGGCGCGCTGTGGACACTCAGGAGTGCCATCTACCAAGTGCTGAGAGCACTGAGGCACACAGAGGGCGCTTGACTTTTCAAAGATGTGCAGCTTGGTCAAAAGCAGAACTGGAATCTGATTCATCAAATCAGGAGAAAAGGCAGTCAGTGAGCCAGGGACTCTACGCACCTCGTTATCAACGGGAGAGAAAAGAACTCAGCTCATGCTTTGCTGTTCAGTTTTGGGTTATTTTAGAATCATGGTTCTTTTTCAACAGGAAAAATAAACCTTACATTCTGTAGGAGAGAAACCACAGCAATCTCAATAAATTCTGATTGTTCCTGGTTCTTTCAAAGTGGAAAACACTCAGCCATTCTTTCTCTTCAGGTGAGTTTATAGGGTATGGCCCCTAGGCAGAGTCTACTAAACTCCCTGCCTGAGGGGACACTGCTGCATCCCACTCACCTGCTTTTCAGCAAAATGGTACTGACACAGCTTCTTCCACAGCTGTCTGTCTTCACTGAGCATATACAGCGTGGGGGTCACCTGGCCTAAGGTGATGATGTCCCATCCGTCTGAGAACCGGTAGAGGATGTTGTTCAGCATGTGCAGAGGAAGGTCACTGAGGGTGAGGCCATTGTTCACTTGCTGAAAGGAAAACACAACAGCATCTCACTGAGAAGATGGCCAGTGTTTGTTCACACAGTAACTGAAGAGTCAAGCTGGAATGAATGCTTCAAAACATGGCAACACAAAAGCTCTCCAGGTCATGCATTGCAAGGCATCAAGGGGCCTGCATCCACCACCCTGGGGAGGGCTGGAGGAGGAGGGCAAGGGAGGGCTGTACAGGAGGCCAGAACCAGGCTGTTCCTGGGTGAGGCCCCACTGCTGCACCTCCCCATGCTCCACGTGTCTATCAGCATCAGGAGGTCAGTACTCCTCTACGGCATCGAGACACACCTGGAGAAGAGCAGGGTCTGCAGACGTGGCACTGCTGCCCAGATGAATCCAACGCACCACGAGGGCAACATGACACCCATCACCAGCAGGGGGCACGGCCTGCGCCACACCGTCTGGGTGGCCTGGACAGCCCCTGGGCCTTGATGGGTCACAGCTGGTCACCCCAGTGATGAGGGAGGTTGACCACATCATCTGCAAAGCCCCTTCTAGCTTTGTGGGTTTTTTCCCTTTATTGAGGTGTAAGTGATAAATGGACTCTGTCTACACTGGCAGCACGTGGTGTTCTGTGCTTGTATGCGTTATGAACCAATGGCCATAGCCCAGCTCGCTGTCTGTCACCTCAAGTCATAATCCTTTTATTTTTGTAGTGAGAACATTTAAGACCTACTCTTAGCAAATCTGAAGTGAAGGATGTATAATTATTAACTGCAGTCATCATGCTGTGTAGACAACCTCTAGAGTGGACTCCTCCTGCACTACAGAAACCTTTCACCCTCCGTCCAACATCCCCCAACCTTCCAGCTTTACATTTCTATGACTTCAAGTTTACAAACCATTTCTCCCTCACGCACACCAGAGAGTAAATGCAATGCATCTGCCCTCAGAAGATACACGTGTGTGCACGCGCCAGGCTGAGGAAGGGTGGCTGTCCCTGGCCCCGAGAAGTGGGCTCAGTCAGTTCAAAAATTAAACTGCTCTGAGGTTGACCTGAGAAAGCCCTGGGTTGAGTGCATACTGTTTCAGACTTTTCAGGCCTCAGTTGTATCTCAATGATTCCCTTCATTCTCACTAGAAGCACCTCTTCCTGACAGTGGGGTTCCGGCTGTTTGGGCGGGACAGAGGCTACCTGGTCCCGCCTCGGTTCCTGACCTCAGTCTGCTCACCCGCGAGCTTCTGATTTGTATTTTTCTTTTGTTCCCAATAGGTTGATATATGTACTTGGCCACAGGGAGAGCTAGCTTCCTTCTGATGTGTTGTGCCCTTCTATATTCCTGCTGCACACAAAGCACAGTGACCATCTATTTTTGGCTAGAATGAGCTAATTCCGTGAGTTTGGTTCTTGAAATTGCCTGACCTCTGTGGACAGTGGAGTGTAGGGAGAGGTGACGGGGGCACCCGTGCCTTGACACCCCATTTTCTTCTCCTGCTCCCCTATAATGCCCTCGCGATGGAAGCAACTTCCTAGGACTTCAGAATGGAAACTGCTGCAGGGCGCTTCTCCTGCATCCCAGTGGGCAGCATGAGGATGGACCACCAGTGACGCACTCTAAGCCACCTTCACCTCATCAAGCACACTATGCATCTGCCAGACACGAGTGGGGCCTCAACACTGCCTGACAGTTTGTGACGTGCTCTAACATTCTGGACATAATCATGAAGCTTCCATGGACTGCACCACTGCACCGTGTTGTAGGCTATGGAGCTGCACAGTCCAAGAGACATCACTTCCCCAGCAGCCAGCATGGTGCCGGCAGGCTCTCAGCAAACTTCTTTGTTCGTTACTGATGAGTCTGACACATTTGATTCAAGTCTTAGCCTATCCTTCCATCTTTATTGTCTAGCATATGGCAGAGAGCACATAGAAAAGAGAAAATGGCCAGGCTGGGTGGCTCACACCTATAATCCCAGCAACACAGGAGACTGAGGTGGGAGGATCACCTGAGCCCAGGAGTTAAAGCCTGCAGTGAGCTATGATTGAACCACTGCCCTCCAGCCTGGGAGACAGAGCAAAACCCCATCTCAAAAACAAAAACAAAACAAAACAAAACGATAACGTGCATGTAAATTAATCCCCAACTAAAAGTCTAACACTCTCACAAGAATTATGTCTTCCAGGTGCTTCATTCTAATTCCTATTGAGAAAAATTTCTGTAGCAGACAGGAGTTTACAAATATTCTGCTGCTAAAATTACAAAGTTTAAAGGGAGTATGAAGTGGTGGTATGAAGGTAGTACAAAGAAAAAAAATCCTGGATTAGTCATTATAGAGTCTGGTGTGACAACTCGGCATTTGGGATTTCTGGCAGAGTCCAGTTTTACAGCCCTGTTAATGGCTATAACAAGAGGGTGTAGCAGAAATGCCAGCACTTCTCATCCAAACG